AAATTATCGTATTAATAAAAAAATTTACTTTAATTAATTGTGAATTATGAAATTTATATTTAAAATTTCTTAATATTAAAATTAAGAATTTATTGATCTTTTATATTAATATTTTTTAAATTTAAAAAGATAATTTTTTTTAAGTTAATATATTATAATCAATATTAAATATAAATTTTTATNTTAAGAAATGAATTTAATGATTTTTTTTAAAGAAATGTTTTATACTTATATATTATTATACTTATATATTATATACTAATATATAATATTATAATATATAATATTATTTTTATATTATATAAAATATTATAATATTAATATTATAATATATATAAAATCCTTAAATAATTTGTTATTAAATTGGCATTAAATCTCTATAATTTGAAATATGGCTACAAAATATCCATTCATGTATGTTGGCATTGCGCATTTATTTATTAAATCTAATATTAACTTTGCATACATCAAATTTGTATTAAATTTATATCAAAAATGTATATATAATATATAATCTTGATATATAATCTTGATATACAACTTGATATTTTTTTAATGCCAAATACAAAACATATCTTGTCAAATCATAAATTAACGCTAAATTTAACGGTAAATATAAAACAAATCTTATAATTGTAAGTGGACGCCATTATAATCTTTCAATGATAAAATTAATATTATACTATATACTATAATAATATATTTACTTTGATTTATAAATATTTTTTTGAAATAAATAAGATACATAAAATATTATTTATAATTAATTATTTTTCCTATTAAAATATATAAGTATAACTTTAACTTTATGTTTTTTTTCAAAATCTTTTTTTGAATAATCATTAAATTCAGAAAAAATTATGTATATTTATAGTTCAAATGATTTTCTGTTTCACATTCTTGTTGTAACTTGATGAACATGAAAAAGAAAAAAAACAAAGTATCAAACAAAATACATTAGTATTAATGAGATATATATATATATAGTAATATAATAATATTAATTATTTATAAAAGATATAATAATTTTTATATACCATAAATATAGAGAATGAAAATATTATTATATCAAATGCTTATGGTTAGAAATAATAAATTACATTAAATAATGAATTTATTCTGCAAATAAAAAGCTTATTATTAACATATTGTATATATTATGTAACATATTCATAGATAATAATGATATAAATAAATATAAATAATAGATAATAATGATATAAAAAAATATGATAGTTATGATATAAATAAATATAATACTTATATTTTAATTTTGCTGGACATTTATTATTTTTATAATTTTATATACATATAATCTATTATATGTTTATTTCATATATTAGTATCTGTAACAGAATATAAATATGTAAGATTAATGTAAATATGATATTTTGAAATATATAAAAAAAATTAATGCATATAAATTCAATATTATTAATGAAAAGCAATAACAATAATTGTATTTATTTGAAATCAAAAAACAAAAATAGAAAAATTTTAATATCAAATCTTACATATTTTCACTATTTATTATAAGTATCTAAAAATTATTTAATGTTATATATATAACTTTAAATAGATAGATATGATATATATATTATATATAACGAAAATATTATGAAGTATATTATAAAATATATACAGGATTTATCATTTTGTTTTATATCATTGCTATTATTGATAATAAAAAATTTTTCAAATAAAATTAAATGCATTAAAAAAAAACAAATTTTTGTTATTATTTTTTTTCTTAAATGAATGCATGAAAAATATGAAAATCATAAATTTTTTTTTTAAATAGATAAATAGATTATTTTTTATTGTATTAATTGATATCAATTTGATATTTTCTATAAAAATATTAATCCATTTATGTTCAAAAATCAATAGATTAAGAAATATTTTAATTTGAAGTTAAAAATTAAAATTACAATTTAGTATATGAAAAACAAGGAATACATAAAGCAATATTCTATTTATGTTCTTCTTATCTATGTTCTTATGTTCTTCTATTATTAAAATATATTAAAATATTTTCTAAAATGCAAAAATACATGATCTTATATAAAAAAAACATTAATAAATTTTACATATTCTCTAAGCATCCATTTACAAAAAATTAAAATTCTTCCTAAAAATTAAATTCCATTTAATTAATTCCATGTGAACTTTTTGTTATGAATAATGATGAAAATTGAAGTAAATATTTGATAAAAAATTTGATATATATTAATATCTTTAATGTATTTTTTATAGAAAAAAAAATTCTATAACACTTATTATAATTCTCATCTAAAAAAATAGAAGAAATATTGTACAATGCAATACAATAATATGCTTAAAGTGTATAAAATCCTATTCTGAGATATAAATTACCAATTTTAGAAAATTTGTTTATCTCTTATTTAAAATAATTATAATATTTTAAGTACAACAATTATCCCATTTATATATTTAATTATGTAAAATTAGACCGTTATTTATATAAAATTGGTCGTTCGCGGATCGCATGCAAACGCACGATATTTTTATACCCTGAAACAATTTATATTTTCGCATATATTTTTCGATATAAAACAAATTAATTTTATCTCTTAATTTTTTTATCATAATTTGATATTTCTTTAAATAAAATGAAATGAAATTTAAAAATTGAAATAATTAATAACATAAATACGTATTGTGCAATTCATTGAACTCTATTTGTTGGATAAATGATCCTTGATTGAAACAAGTTTGATATTTCCTAGCAATATGTTATATATTGAATTTCATGATTGAAAAAATAAAGCAGTTCTATTAAATTACTTTTTCTATTAAAATCTATTTCTGATATTATGTTGATGAAATGCTTATATTGAATTTACTTCTTACAATATTTCTAAATATCATTAATCATATGCAAAAGATCATGCATATTAAAAGAACAGAAACTTGACTTATATAAGTTTTTGCCTTAATTATTTTTTGTCTTATTTAAAACAAAGAATAAACATTTCAAATTTGCAATTTATTATATTTGCAAAGTTTAAATATATAATAGATGGACACTAATAAGTAAGTAAGTGAGAAACTAATAAGTAAGTAAATATTTCAATAAAAGTTAAATTAAATAAAAATTAAATAAATATAAAAAATAAATTAAATAAATCAATATATAATTATATAAAGAAAAAAAATATTTGTATATCAGTGTATGTCTAATATTAAAAATTCTCAAAATTCAATGTATTCTTGTATATAATTTTTTGTATATGGAATATTTTTAATATTCTTGCAATGTTTTGAAAATTTAATTGTTTTTAATTATTTATTTTTGAAGAAATGAGAAATTTATCTAGAAAATAATTTAGAAAAATATAAGTATTTTTCATTTATTATTATATGCAAATAATAACTTCTAAGTATAAAAATGAATATATTCAAAAGAAATTCGAAAAATTTTCCATTTTAATTAATAATAACGAAATAATTTTCATCCAGAATATTAATATATTCATAAGAAATTTTTGAAAGATTAATTTTGAAGATTAAAAATTGGTCTAAATACAAAAATATCAGTTAAAGTTATGATCAATTATTATTATTTATATTAAATGAAATAAAAGAATGAAACTACTATATTGCATTTTGTTTCTGTTTTACTTTATTTAATTTAATTTTGATACTTTTATTATATAACTTAATAAATAAATTTTAATTGATATTTTTATATGTTAATTTTGTATATTTTGTATGTTTTTGTATATTTTTTTTTTTTAGTTTTAAAATAAACTTTCCAAAGATATCCTACAAATATATTATTAATCTACATACATCTAATATATATTATTATATATATAATTATATATATATATAATTCTAAAACAATGATTTATATCATTAAAAAACAATCATTTACTTAACTATTAAAAATTTTATATTTTAAATAAAATATTAAAATATTAAGTAAAAAATCAAATGTTCCTGATAAAATAAATTTAATACATTAGCAATAAAACTTAATTTTATTGGTTACTTTAGAAAAAATATTATTAAAAATATCATTAAAAAAAAAAAATCATTAAAATTGATATCTCTTTGATATTGGAAATAATTTCCAAATCAATAATAAAATTATAAAAGAAAATATTCTGATTATTAAGTTTTGGAATCTAAATTTGCATTATTATTTATATTAAAATATAAATTTATAATATAAAATTATAATTGTAAAATTTATAATAGATTGAACAAACCAAATATTAGCAAACTTATTTTAAATATACATTCAAAATTT